GAACCGCTCCTTCGCGCGTGAGATGTACTCGAGGTTCGTCGACGGCGACGGCGACGACGACGTCGGGATTGTGCCGTAATTGGTCATGTTTTTGGGAGAAGGTTCGGGGTTTGACCGTGTTTTGGGTTTGGGAGGAGCGTGAGTAGAGAGAAAATTGGGAGGTTGGGAATTTGAGGGGATTCAATCAATGAGGGGTTTATAATAGTGCGTGTTGGTGAAGGAATTAGTTTTGGAGTTGTTATAATCAATTTATTGTAAATCAAATTATTAATTGTCAAATTTTTTTTTGCTAATCATATTAATTGTCAATTAGTTTAGAATAAAAGACTTTATATTATTTATATTATACAAAAAAAAAAGAAAGTAAATTATGCGGATGTGAGTGAGAGATTTGTGGACAGATTTCGGTTTTAAATAGAGAAAAAAAAAAGTTTGTGTTGATTTCTTGTAGGGAGAGAATTTGAGACGATTATTCACAAGAATATTTGCTTGTTTTGTGTATTTGTCTTGTTTTCGTTGGCTTTGCGTTGTGGATTGATGAGCCCATACTCACGAGTTTAGTAACTAGTCATTTCTTCGTGATTCGGAAATGTGAAGAGGGTTTGTCTGATGATTGTTATTTGAGGATTTGGTTCCGATTATTTTTTAAAATTGATTCTCAAACGGAGTCCCTGTCATGATGATTCTCACGGAGAGAATGAGCAAAAACTACACTTGACTTGACGTGTACGTATATCAGTTTGTTATTAAGAGTAAGAGTTGTAACATGATATTTATTGAATTTAAAATTAAAAAATAATAATAATAATTTGAGATTACTAAATTCTTGTTGGTATTAGGTATAATTTTAATGCCAGTATTATGTCAAATAAATGTAATATTGAATTTGTTATTTGGCCCGGACAATTTCATCTTTTGTTGGAATGTTGCAATGCGTGGAGCTCACTGATGATCATGACTAATTCTAACCGTTTATTTTTATCCTTGCACTCTGTTTAAATGACGAATTAAGCTTTTCTTTTTTCAAGAAGGTACAAATGGAGTTATTATTGCAACATTAGAGATATATATAATGAGCGAAGTTCCTAAAGTTAGTTTCTGTCATCCTACTAACTCTTGAAGGTCCCCGACAATTACAACAACCCGCAAACAAAAGGATAATGTGGGACTCGTGTGTGGATAAGACCACACTAAGCCTTGTGGGGACGTTAATGATAACGCGACGGCAAGATACCAACGAGGCCGGCCATTTGGCACGTGGCATGCCGCTATCTACTAGAAAAAGTTGTCAATGCCTTTTTAAAATTATTTTTTAATAGGAGAATTTTTGTGATGTTCACTTTTTTTTTTAGAATATTAGTTTTTTTATTTATTAATTGTTAAATTTATATTATTGTAATTTTTAATTATATTTAATATAAATTTGACCACTGTTAAATTTAAAACACGAGTGTTATTAAAAAAAAAAAAGAAAACACCATAAAAGTCTTATTTTAATAATTAATTTAATTTTTTAAGTCATATTCCTGGCCCAAAAAGATTAGCTAACTTTGGTGAAACTGAAATTCATAGTAAATTTTAGACACGTTTGGTGATCATTGAATGTTGAGAGCTATAGCCAATAAGGAGACGCCGCGTGAGGAGATTTAGATCTTTAGAGTGAAGCCGCGCGCGGGGTGTTATTGCTCACATTTGAGCTTTTAAGTAGATGGTTCCCTTGCATGTGGATGCTGAAGGGAAAAACCTTTTGAGTTGTTGAGAATGAAAAAGGAGTGAGGAAAAAAGGAGATCTTTCACCCTTTTTTTTTTCTTTTGTGTTTGTTTCGTAGAAACACTTTTATCAGTGAGGATGATTTATGATTGATGGTTGTAAGCTTTTGTTGACAATAAAAGCAAATGTACCAAAAAGAAAAAAACAATGCAATTTTATTTTATTTTTAATCAGAGTTTTTTTGATAAAATCAGTAAAAATAAATTATTAATATTTTTTTTTTACTATTTAACTATTAAATTTGTATTAAAAAATATTCGTTATGCATATTTTTTAATATGATGTAATTTTAATTAAATATAATGATTAAAAAATTAATTCTATCGGTATGTTGGCCATTCTAGCATTTCAGTTTGTGCAATGTCATCCTATTCTTTTGCTGCCTGGACTAGGCTTATTTGCTCTTATATATCATTCTCAAGAGACTAGTTACCTCTTATTATTCAATGCCAGAACTAGTCTAATAGTAAGGTCGGTTTGTCTATCATTTTCCTAAATGTCATTTTTCTGTTAGTTTGGGCCTCTTTTGGAATGTGATGACTCTAAATACTAGAGCTATTTATGCTACATTCCATGACTATTTAGACTGGATTGACATTTACTATAAGTACTAATGGCATGTTCTTTTGTCTAAAAAACTCAAAAAAAGACAATTCGAGTTCTAATTTTATTCAAGTTCACGTTCTTTTAAGTTTCAACTTTATTCAACTTTATTAAAGTTACAATTTCAACTCAAATTATAACTCAAATTTAACTCAAAAACTATACTCAAATTACACTCTAAAAGAATAACCCATAATACTGTTGTAAAACATACCACACTACGACAGTGACATCATAAAAACTTTGTGTGCTGACCTAAATACCCACATATTAAACCTAGGTTTTTTTTTTTCCCCCACAAATCCCAGCAACCTCCTTCCCTCTTTTTCTCTCTCTCACTAGCGTGGCATCTCTAGATTTCTTCACGAGGGAATTTTGGAGCAAATGGCCTGATCGTCTAGGATCTCGCCAGCCTTCTTCCCTCTCACCGTCGTGACATCTTGTCCGTCGCCGCTGAACATCATCTTCGGCAGATCTCTCTTTTTCTTTATCGCACTCGTAGTCGCCGCCACTCCTAACCTACTACTGTCGTTGCCATGGAAAAGACACTCACTCTGTTGTCGTCATCAACTCACCTCGTTGAAGGCAATCTCCCATCTGAACCGAGCAAAGGCAATCTCCTCCGCGGCCGACGAGATCTGCAGATGCGATCTCCCCTCGGCGCTGTGCGGAGGAGATCTCATCGCGCGTAGGGAAATTTGCAGATCTCCGCTCACGCCGCGGTGGCCACATACAGGCACCGACGAGACAGCCTCCGTGCAAGGAGAATGACGACTACACTTTTTTTTTTATCCTATACGGAATTGTGGATTTTGTCAAGTTGTTGTGCTTTTCAACGTATTATTTGCGACTTTTGTGGGGTTTTTTTTTTTTTTTTTTAAAACCATTCTGGCTGGACTGCTACCAATACTTGCGGTTATCGGCGGTATCTTGGCTAGTTACCAGTTGGTATCTTGGCTGGATACTGGTATCGCGTATCATTGACGGATATCGACCATTACACAAATTAGTATTCCAAATACATTGTGACGACGCTGTTGTGATAATCTCAGTAAATGTTTTTATTTTTTATTTTTTATTTTTTTTTATCCCAGTATTAGTCAATCTAAGCCTAAAATTTGTGGTATTCATGTAAAAGCCCTAAATACTGACCCGATTGGATTCGGTTGGGCTTGGCTCATCACTAGGGACTTCTTCAAAACCAAACCAAGAAGAGAGAAAATAAAAGAGATTGAGAGAATTATTGAATTTTAAGAGCGTATGAATCTTAATTTTTATCGATTAATATATTTTTGATTAAAATAATTATTTAATTAAAATTTTTTTAATTAAGAGTAATAGATAAAAATTTAGACATTTAAGACCCATACACTAATCTAAGAGGGTATTTGTCTCCTATGTTTACCAGATTTGGAACAGTCCATGACAATTAACTTATGGATGAATAAAACATAAATAGTCACGAGCTTTAGTTTTACAAATGGTGACACATTATTTCCATCACAAAATAGTGACGCATTTTGTAGAATAATGTATTAAACTTAAGCTTGAAAATGTAAATGCTAATGTAAATATTCTATATGGCGCAAAAAAATCATTAACTGAACATATAAAATAGCATATGCTGTAATGCTCAATGTTATTTTAAATGACGTCTATCTTCTGCTATTTTTAAGGTTTGAAACTTGTGAAAAGAAAATTTTTGAAGCTGCAAGTAATCGAAAAATTGAAATGTTGTAGCTATTATGTGAAGAAATTAACACATCATCAATAAACAATCCAATGGCAAATAAATAGTGAGATAAGCTAATATTAAATTCAGTACCAATATATCGAATGAATTTCATATATGATATATTTGACGATATGGAGAACTGAAGTAGTATTAATTACGTCATAAGTAGAATATACTGACAGTTCAAAGCATCTACTAATTATTTTAAATTTTTCATACAAGAACTTGCTTATGATTAGGGGTGTAAGAAATGAGCTCGAACCTGATGAATCCGCCTGAGCCGATCCGACCCTACTCGAATATAGTGTTCATTTTTTTTAATTTTTTTATTTTTCGGTTGTACATATGGCAAACCTGCACTGTGCAGGTCAGGTGGCGGGCCAGATTCGCTTGAACCCGAAGAAGGCCGACCTGGCCGAATCAAGTAGGGTAAGTAATCCCTAATTTTCTTTCCTTCGCTCACATCTCCCTCGAGGCCTCGACATTATTTTTAGACTTCAGTTTCTCACAGACTCACACCGCGCCGCTCTCTCTTTCTTCTGTTCTCTTTATTCTCATTTCTCACTCAGCGCCACTCTCTCTTTCTTCTCCACTCTCTCTTTCTTCTCAGTTCTCAGATTCACCTTTCGGAGGTTCTCAGTTCTCAGCCACCGGCGATCTCGTCCGCGAAGAGCTCATCTCCTCCGGCTCCCTCTCTCAACAGGTAGGCCTTTTGTTCTTATTTTCAATTTTGATTCAATCAATTTGGACTCATTTCTGTCACCTTTCATTTTTTCCTTTTGATTTTGGATTTAGGGTTTATATACATTTGATGTTTGTTCCTATTTTCAATCTTGATTCAATCAATTTGGACTCAGATATGTCACCTTTCATTTTTTTCGTTTTGATTTTGGATTTAGGGTTTAAATATAGTCGATGTTTTTTGCTTTTGTTGGTTACTCTTTTTTTGTTTCCAGATAGTCTTTACTCTCGTTTTTTGTTGGTTTCTGATTTTTTCTTTCCAGCCGAACAATTTCAAGAAAATCGAGGAAGAAGAGTGAAGACGCATCAAGAACTATTTTTTTTTTCCCCATTGGCCTCTTGTAACCCAACGGGAGACCATGGGAGTGACACAGAGGACTGCTCAATCAACTTCAGCCCAAACCGACTAACCCACAAAACCAAGCCTACCCGAGGTAACCTAAAGGGTTACGGGTTTGTGGGCCAATATGAGTGTTGCGGCTTAAATTTCTCTCACCCCGACTAGTGCAGCTTGGCCCAAAAAACATGCCTAACCTGAGCCTACCCAGCCGAGTTACACCCCGAAATGATGAAAGTGATCTTTGAGTCTAGAAATAACTTTCCTTGGCCTAACCGGAAATTGAATGGACAAAGACGAAAACAAAAGGCATGCAATTTTAATTGCGACCAACGTGTGGTTTTCTTTTAACAGAATTGAAGAGAGAGAGAGAGAGAGAGAACAATCTGTTATTGTATTTCATAACACGTGGGAAACAGATAGTACTATTTTGTTTTCCCTGCAGATTTTTTTTTTCCAGGAATTACTTTAGTTGTAAATACCATGTTATTTAATTGAAATAATATGAGTGTTTCTTTTTCTTTTTTTTTTTGTTTGATAAAGGTACTTAGTTTTTGCTAACCATACAGTTTTGTCCGTTCATAACTGAAAATTACGTATAATTCAGCGATATAACTCGAACTCGCAAAAAGAACGGAAGCATAACAGTGTTTTCGTGAATTTGTACACGTTTATGGCTCACCAATTTTGTGAAGGTCAACTAGTCGGCTATGAAACAGTAAAAGGGTCTGTTATTGCTTGGGTGACCTGAATTGGGTATAATCTAATGAACTTAGATTCAAGTTTATGGGGCAAGGAAAGTTGTGACAAAGGGACTTCAACTTGACGTTAAAACTTGTAATAGATCAGCAAGGTTGCCTTTAAGACTAGTTATAGAAAATCTCACAAGTTTTTCCTACCGCCAACTAGTTCCATTGCTTTCCAAGTTTTTTGGGGTTGCTTCTTCAATTGCGGCATCTACAACTTATCCTTTATAAAATGAACAATTTTAGGACATACCCTCTAATAATCCAAAAGGCAAAAAACCAATTTACTTTTTTATATCTCTCTTTGTCTCTGAAAATTAATATTGCTGCAACTTTGAAAACTCTAAGGCTAGAGTAATGGAGGGACCAAAACATTGTAAGTTTCTCCATGGAACTCTTGAAGCTACCATCTTCCATGCTTCTCCTTACACACCATCATTCCCCTTTAATGTAAGTAGTTTTGGATATGCTGTAGTATTTCTTTAGATATTCAGATGGTCTTCTAAATACTTATAATGCATAAATAGTTGCAAGTTTGAAGGGCACAAAAATTGCTCTATTGGTAATGAATGTGTCTAAAACGTCAAAATTTCATTCTGTTTTGTCGTATTTGCATACTATTCAATTGTGATGTTACTCTAATATATGAATTTAATGCTTATAACTACACACCAGCAGTGGCGAATATGCTCTCTTAATTCACCTTTTTAGTTTTGTATCACTCTTTACAAATTTTGTGCATCGTGAAAGAGAAAGTGAGAGTAGAAATCTTATAATGTTTAAAAAAGAAAAAGCACAAATATTCATTTTGTCTCATGACTAGAAGTGCATTACTCTAGATTCCCCATATAATCTTGGTTTTTCAACTGCGTAAAAAGAGTTGAGAAAGTTTTTCCTAACAAAACTTTTGGTTTGGAATTTTGTAATTTGCGTAGTGCATACTTGCAAATGGAAAGCCTGCATACGTGACCATAAAGATAGACAACAAGAAAGTTGCAAAGACAACCTCAGAACGCGACCGCGTTTGGAACCAAAGCTTCCAAATCCTATGTGCTCATCCTTCCAACTCAACCATCACAATAACATTGAAAACTTCATGTGCCATCCTGGGAAAATACCAAATCCAGGCTCACCAAATACTAGAAGAAGCGAGTTTGATAAACGGCTTCTTCCCTCTTTCGCTCGAAAATGGAAAGGCGCCTAATCCCGAACTCAAGCTGCGATTCTTGTTATGGTTCAAACCAGCGGAGTTTGAACCAACTTGGGGAGAAATACTAGACTCTGGTGATTTTCAAGGCATGAGGAATGCTACTTTTCCGCAAAGATCAAACACCCATGTCACGCTTTATCAAGACGCTCACCATTGCTCAACTTTTCAGCCTCCATTTGGTCATTGTGGGACTCCGAGAAGGCTTTGGGAAGATGTTTACAAAGCCATTGAAGGAGCAAAGTACTTGGTCTACATTGCAGGCTGGTCTTTCAATCCCAAGATGGTTCTGGTACGTAAGCAGAAATTTTTAGTATTACTCGTCAAATTTCCTTTTCCTTGTTTTCCTATAATTAATCTTAGAGCGTCTTTAATGTAGTACCAAATTAGTGTGTTGATATAAAATTCGTGTTACGATAAGAAAATCACTCTCCAATATAATTCTATGTTTAGTGCTAAATTTAACCTATCATGTTATACTTGGTGCAAAATTTGACACCAAATATAATATGTGCCAAAATTTGACATTTTAGTTACTGTTAATAAATATATTGATCTTTTCAATTAGTCATTTATAATATTGAAAATTTTAAATTATTTTAATATTATAAAAATTTTCTTTCAGAATTTTTAAAGCTCAATGATTATGATAAAAAATTGTAGCACAAATAAAAATGACATTACTTTCATAAATTTTAATGTCAAAAACATAATTGGCATTATATTTACATTTGAGATATAATCTTATATGTACTTGTTTCTTTTGAGAAGGTTAGAGATTCTGAAACGGAAATCCCACATGCAAGAGGAGAGAGACTAGGGGAGTTGCTGAAGCGGAAAGCCGAAGAAGGCGTGGCGGTGAGAGTAATGCTTTGGAACGACGAGACCTCCCTACCACTCATCAAGAACCGAGGTCTAATGAGAACCCACGACGAAGATGCTTTAGCCTACTTCAAACACACCAAAGTTGTATGCAAATTGTGTCCAAGACTACACAACAAGTTCCCAACAATCTTCTCCCACCACCAAAAGACCATAACGGTGGACACCAAGTCACACATTGGCACCGAAAGTTTCCCGACGGACCGCGAAATCATGAGCTTCATCGGCGGAGTAGACCTCTGCGACGGGCGGTACGACACCGAGCAACACTCGCTCTTTCGAAGTCTCAACACCGAGTCCCACTGCTCGGATTTCTACCAAACCAACATCTCCGGGGCGAGCCTTCAGAAAGGGGGGCCTAGAGAGCCTTGGCATGACTCTCACGCTTGTGTGACTGGCGAAGCCGCTTGGGACATCTTAACCAACTTTGAGCAAAGATGGGCGAAACAATTGGACCCTTGTTTGTTAGTCCCAACTAGTACACTAACAAAGCTCATTAACCAAACTTACTCAAAAAATCAACATAGGAACTGGAGAGTTCAAGTGTTTAGATCCATTGACCACGTGTCAGCCACCCAGATGATGAGGAACATGACCGTTGAGAGAAGCATACACGAGGCCTACGTGGAAGCCATAAGGAAAGCGGACAAGTTCATATACATAGAGAACCAATATTTCATTGGGGGGTGTCACTTGTGGGGGAGAGACACGGATTGTGGATGTGACAATTTGATCCCAATTGAGATTGCGCTTAAGATAGTGAGCAAGATCAAGGCCAAGGAGCGATTCGCTGTGTACGTATTGATTCCGATGTGGCCGGAGGGCGTGCCGGAGAGTGAGAGTGTTGGGGACATTTTGCATTGGACCAGAGAGACAATGTCGATGATGTATAAGTTGATAGGAGAGGCGATTGAGGAAAGTGGTGGGGGTGAGGGGATCAGTAATCCGAGAGATTACTTGAACTTCTTCTGCCTTGCAAATAGGGAGATTGAGGGCGAAGGTGAGTATGTTGCGCCGCATTCTCCTCACCCCGGTTCGCATTATTGGAATGCGCAGAAGCATAGGAGGTTCATGGTTTATGTGCACTCCAAACTCATGATAGGTATGCCACTATAACTATATATAGACCCATATACGTCCATCTTTATACAAAAATTGAACCATCAATTTTTGTACAGAAATGACAATATTTTTTAAAAAAATTTACCCCTCCTTTTTACCTTAGTTTATTTTTTTTGCAATTTAGTTTTCTTCTTTCAAATGAATCACTAAAGTTAATTTGTAATACAGTTTAGTTCTCTTTTTCTAAGTTTGCAGTCCTAACCATTTATGAATTCATATAGTAGTACATATAGTTAGTTTTTAATTTGTTTGAGGTTTTACCATTGAAATATTAGAATGTTTAAAGGTTAAAACTTGAAATGTAACTGGTTTATTTTTTTTAAATCTAAATATTGCTTTAGAAAATTTTAAGGGGATGAATTATTAAAAAAAAAAAAAAAAAAGTGTAAGGAATCCTTCGTATAGGTGGTGGGTTTTGCATTGAAAATGAAACCCACAATTTGATACATTTTACCACATGGCAGGTGTTGTATGCAGTATCCTGAATTGGATAATGCTAGTCCAAGAATGTTAAAAAATGATGTGAGTTGATAAGTACTATATTATATGTTTTTTATGGAAACTTCTGAGGTCCATATATCGCTATAAGTTAATAAACATGTAATATATATATATATATATATTGCTCGAAAGTTCAAGTCACAATTCGATTATCATGGTGTTAGTTATCAACTTTTCATATTGCCATTTATCATTATAGGATCACATGTAGTCTTCTTTTGGAAATTAATGCTTTATGTTATTAGATATCATTATTAAATCATTCTGGAAAGACAATTAATAGAGGATAGTAGTGGATGAATAGATAACACTATTGGAAACTACGCATCCATATATACGTCAGCATCAATGAGGCCACATAGCACGTCTCTTTCTTAAATTTGGAACATGTACCACTAACTCTTACTAACATTTTGAACATTCGCTCATTGATGCATTTCACATTTAACCAACTTCAGTGGACGATTCATACCTCCTCATAGGATCCGCTAACATAAACCAACGATCCATGGACGGTGAACGAGACACTGAAATCGTCATCGGTTGCTACCAAACCGATCGAAACATCAGCAGCAACAACAACGACAACAATATCATCAAAATAATCATCAGAGATGTTCGTGCATTTCGAATGTCATTGTGGTACGAACACACTGGAGTCACGGACGACACATTCCAAGAGCCCCAAAGCTTGGAATGCGTTGAAAAAATGCGTTCCATTGGAGACCAAATGTGGAATATTTACAAGGGCGAAGAAGTGGTTGACATGGAAGGTGTTCACCTTGTGACATATCCCATGAGTGTAACACAAGATGGTAAGATTGAGGATCTCTTAGACGGAGGAGATTATAGTCATTTTCCTGATACCAATACTCCAGTCAAAGGGAAGAGATCCAAAGTCCTACCCCCAATTTTTACTACATAATAATAGTTGTTGTGGTACAATAGCTAAAACCATTCATCATTCATAGATGTGGGAATAAAATTGCAATCATGGGTTGATTAGGAATTTTATGTGAACATTGAAGAATTTAAGAGTGTGCAAGAAATTTAATAGGCTCTGACCAGAGCGAGATTTGATGCGATTGAGATAATAAATGAATGTGAATAATGGCGTGTATATTAAATAATGGCATCATTGGTCATGAATAATGATGGTTGTTTTATTCCAATGATTATTTTATTACAATGATTATATTGGCGGATGATGGTGATGATTCACCAGAGCCACTAACTTCGCCACGTGGAACACCCAACAAGATTGGTCTTGTCTAATTTTTTTTTTTTTTTTTAAATGGGCATAGCTATAGATCTTATCTTTATATTCCCATCTTTTAGTTATTTTCATTAATAGATATAAATTTTTTAATTTGAATTAAAAGAATAAAACATTTTTTTTTCAATTTAATTAAAAAAATTAAAGAATAGCAATTTACATACCACTATACTGAGTATTAAAAAGTTGACGTTTTTACATTAATGTTTTTCTAAGCAAATACTTTCAATCCAAGGTGCCATTTCAAAAAAAAAAAAAAAACAATATCTACATGTCTTCTTCTTTAGCTCCTTCAATGGTCATTCAGTGAATTATTGCAAATGCAAATAGTTGGCTGTCGTTTTGTTTTTTTTATCATTATTAGGGCTTTAATTCTAGAAATGCTCTTCTTGTCACAAGAAACATGTTAGGTGATTTGATCCATCACCCATGCCCCAGTGTTTTGTTACCTCACATTAATCTAGGGCCTAAAACCCTGTTTTTGGAAAAGGAGTCTATAATTCTCCAATTTTAAAAAGAAAAAAAAAAAAAAAACCTTATCTTTGTCATAACAAAACAAATAATAATAGTTTAATGAAAGAACTGCATAATATCAACAAAATTATTGTTTATAATCTACCAAATAATTATCCTTATTATATGCAATGCTTAGTAACATGAAAATTTACCTTTCCTCAAAAAAAAAAAAAAAAAAAAAAAAAAATCCTTCCCTCCAGTTTACCCTCTCTCTCTATCTGTTTTTGCTTCCGCATCTGATTGAGTTGCAAGCTTGAACTTCATCGCAAGTTTATCAATGAATCAGAGGCGAAGGTTCATCGCACGTAATTTTCTGTTTCATTCGGACATTAATCCCAGTTTCGGCTCTCTGGAACCATTTTCTCGCCAGCCAAACTGAAAAACTTTATTACATTTCTCAACGGTTTTGATCCAAAGATTTTAACATTTTCGATGTGTGGAATCCGCAAGAGTTCGAGCTCGCTGACGATAGAAAAGACTCTTTGTACGATCGTGACGCCATTGATAAACTTTCTCGAAGCTTTGATTCTCACGTTCGCCGGTTGCTTCGGTCACCACCGTCCCCGAGATTGCTTCTCTTACAAGTTTGACGACGTCGTTCGTCTCGCCAACGATTCTCCTTGTTCGTTAGTTTTTTTTTTTTCTAACGTTTTAACTTTCTATTTAGGTTGAGATTTTTTTTCCTTTCTCAATTTGGTTTTTCTGCATTTGAATGTCGCAGTTAGTGTGAACGATGTTGAGGCCTTGCGTGAATTGTTCAAGAAATTGAGCAGTTCGATTATAGACGATGGCCTAATTCATAAGGTAGATGGGAAATTCTACATCATGTTTGTTTTGGATTGAAAGTCTAATTAGTGAGGCTTAATCAGTTAATAATTATTCGCTAAGCGTGTTTAATTTTTGTGTTTTACTTGTATTTCTGGGTTTGATTTTGTGAAGGAAGAGCTCAAATTGGCACTATTGAAAACGGTGGTGGGTGAAAATCTTTTTCTGGATAGGGTAAGTATAACTATAGTAATCTCGATTTAGAGTTCATTGTGATTAACGATGTTAAACACTGCCTAATTGAGCATGTACTCATGATTTTCTTTCTTTCTTTTTGTTGTGTTTGATGATACAGTCCTACTGCAATATAGAAAATGTCTCTTTTCTTACAAGATTAATTCCTTTAGAAATTGTAATTGATATTCAGAAACTTTGATACACTATTCTGTTTCTTCTCATTTCTTTTTTCTTTCTCCTGCAATTCTTTCTTTCTTTCTTTCTTTCTTTCTGCTTTAATTTGTGCTGCACAATGTATAACTGCTTCATGGGCAGATTCGTTTACCTTGTAGTTTGTTGCGTTCAAATCTGACCCAAATGTGTCATAGGTATTTGATCTTTTTGATGAAAAGAAAAATGGGGTTATTGAATTTGAGGAGTTTGTCCATGCGCTCAGCATATTTCATCCATGTGCTCCTCTAGCGGACAAGATTGATTGTAAGTATCCAAGAAACCAACTTCAGTTGTTTAATTAGGCTTTGTTTGGTAAGAGGGAAAAACAAAATAAGAAGGAAAGAAAGGTATGCAACTCAGGTGAGAAAAATGACAAGAAAGACGAGGACCTTTCTCTTATTGTATTTAATATGGGTTCAGTTAATTTCTCCATATTTAAAGAGATTAAGTGTCCGTTTAATTTGTTGATTCGAGTTGAGATGCGATTTTATATGAGAGTTTTTTATTGTAGTAAAAAAGTTAAATGTGTTCTGAAAGCTTTTTACAGTAGTAAAACTCGTATTTTAAACTTGAATCAGTGAAATGAACGAGGCCTAAGTTGATATTTTTTTGAAAGATTTGAAATCCTTCTTCCAATCTCTCCCCTCTCGCTTCTTTTTTTTTTTTTTTTTTCTTCTTCTACTAAACAACCATGGTACCAAAATCCTTCGACTAATCCTCCATTCTATTATTCCTTTCATTTTTCCTTCCTACCAAACAAGTTCTTACACCACACTGTTTTCGGATCTTCATGCTCAAAACGCTGTTCTACTGTCTCCTTTGGTTTGCATGCAGTTGCATTTAGGTTGTATGATTTGAGGCAAACTGGATTTATCGAACGGGAAGAAGTAAGTATCTTGATGTGTTAGAACTGTTTTTCTTGTAAAATTGTCATGCCAAAATTATCCATATTATTGAAAGAGTTTCTGTATGGATGTAATAATCTTTATGGATTTCCTGGTATTATGTTTCCTATTATTTTCCAGGGCTTATTCTGATCTGTTCATCAAATCTCATTATTTCAGTTGGTCTAATATGATTAAAATTTTAATTTTTCTTTTGCGTGTAAACAGTTATTTTTCAGACCATAACGTGCATATAATCTTTTTCATTCTTTAACTACATCCCTATGCTGCTTTTTTCAGGTCAAGCAAATGGTAGTTGCCATTTTATTGGAATCTGGCGTGCAGGTGTCAGAGCAAACTCTTGAAACCATCGTTGACAAGGCAAAGATTATACAAGATGAAAACTTTTTTTTTCCCTTTTCTTTTTTTCTCCCTATCCATCTTCCGGGGTTTTTTTTTTTTTTTGCACTGAAACTTTTCTTGCGCAGACATTTGCAGATGCTGATGCTGATAATGATGGTAAAATTGACAAGGATGACTGGCAAACTTTTGTTCTCCGCGATCCAAAACTCCTTAAGAACATGACAATTCCCTATTTAAAGTTGGGTGTTGCTTCTCTACTTTACGTCTAATATTGTTGTCTTTTTAATTAATTGTCAAGGTACTCAAGTAATTTTTTTTCCAAGTCTCATATATATATATATATATATATATATATATATAAACTCCCAAAAGTCATCACACTGTGGACGAATAAATCGAAATCGAATTCAAGTGGTTAGTAATTACTTTACTGAAGTAATTTTTCATTTTCCAGGGATATCACCACATTGTTTCCAAGCTTCATCTTCAATACTGAAGTCGAAGACTGAAAAATCATTTTGTTGAAGTGGAATTCAGAAAAATCGTCTTCAGCTCTGCACAACGAGCGTATAATTTACAAATGAAGCCTTATGCTTTCTTGCTTCTGCTATAGATCAGTATTGGCAGTCGGATCAATCTTTGAATTTAATAAGGGCGTATATAAATTTTTCTTTTTTCAGAAATAATTAATAAGAAAAACAAAAAATGATTAATTTTAAATTGACATTCCAAAGTAATAGTTCTCTCACTTTAACCCTATAACTCAAAATAACACAAAACTTTCCCATAACTTCTAATAAATTGCAACTTTAATACTTAAGATATTAAGACATCAATATTTTAATAGTTCGAGTTCGAGTCATTTGTGCCTCACTTAAGTTTTTGATGTTACCTACTCATTATTCTCTATCCAAATAAAACACAATTTTTTTCTCAATCCAACATGGGTGTCACCTACTCATTGTAATTACCTTACTGTATTGTCTTTTATGAATTAAATATGTGACATATATGTGATTAAAATCGTTAGAAATTTTGATATCTAATTGGCAAAAGTATCTACAGTACAACTTATAATAAACTTCAGGAAAAAAATAAAAAAGTGTTTTTTGCTATTTTGAGTTGCAAGGAAAAAAATAAGATAACCTCTGGGATAAAATTAGTTTAAATAGATAGTAACACGGTATTTTTCAAAAACTACCCAATACATGTGTATAAAAGATCATAAAATATATTTTAATAGATGACAATGAATTTTTATGTATTGAAAATTTCATATAATATATTTAGTTTAGAGGGGGCTAATTTGATATTTCTTTTTTTGAGTGGGGGCGAAATGGAAGGAACAAAATTTTTAGAGTTAAAAATTAAAACAAACAAAAAATCAGTGGGGGCGGCACGGCAGCCCCCACTCGTACATGAATGCCCCCGCCAGTGAGTACTGCTTTGACGGTGGGCGGTTTGTATTGCGTTGGAATGTCCTCGATGTAATGGCCATTCTGCGAGACAAGTCAACACAGTCTCCCAATTCTTTATGTATATTGAGCAACTTGATTTGTAAGCAACCTTTAAAAAAAAAAAAAAAAAGGGTTATCTTCACCGCTAAACCTCAAATTATAGGGGTCGTCCCACTTCAGTCCCAAGCTTTAAATCATCCCAATTCGCTTGCCTAATGTCTCTCTGTCTCATTTAACACTCTCATGATTGGGGTGTGCAAGAAACTCACGGAAAATACACCGTGACCCATTACGCGCACGGCAGTTGAGTAATCAACCCTGAAAATTATTTACCACCACTGTCGGGAACAGAGTTGGAGGAGACACATTTTTCGTCGATGAGGAAAGCGTTTGATGGACACCCCTTCGGCATATCGGATAAGCTTTCTTGAGCTCTCTTAAATGCTGGTTCCGATCAACCGTCTCTGGTTTAGATGTTTCTACTCGCAAAATCATGTAATACTATTTCTCTGAATTAATGCGCACCACCTGTGTCCTTGCTTAGAAGCCTAGACGATTTAGTGTAGTTTTCAAGGCATTGCGTGAAAATGCTTATGTTCTTGTTTTTTGGTGTATGAAAGTGAAAACTCAAAATTTATACGTATATACAAGCATTATAATATGAACTATAACAAATTAAAAAAGTCTTTGACTTTGCACACCATCAGTTTGTGGCTGCTCTCTTTTACTATAGGAAAAACTATAGAAACCTTGGACAACGGATCCAATTTTTGTGCACGTGATGGTCACGTGCATTTTCCATCTTTAAACAACCCAATGACAGCAAGGTGTTGAATTAGACAAAGAAATGTTACGCCCCAGGGGGATAAAGCAATTTAAAATTCAAGGACTAAAGTAGGAATGCCCCTGTAGTTTGGGACCAATGGTGACAATAAGACTTATAATAGGCTTTTAGGCTTAGTATTTCCAATAAAACGACGACCAACTTCGGAAAAATATCCATCTAACAGAAGCATACCGATCCAAGAAGATGGTTTCACAGTCTACGATGGGAAATTTTATCAAGGCAAAGCCTGTCATCATGGTTTTAAAAAGCGCCAGAGGCGCACGCCTTGAGGTGCGCCTCGTGGCGAGAAAGCGCCTCAACTCCTACGCCTTACAGGGTAGGTGTTGAGGTGTGCGCCTCAGCCACTTGAGGTGCACGCCTCAGGCGGTTAGTGAGGCGCACGCCTTTGAGCAGCGCCTCAGGCGGTTAGTGAGGCGCACGCCTTTGAGCAGCGCCTCAGGCGGTTAGTGAGGCATCCTCTTCTCTGCAAAGGGTCTTCTGGTGGGTTATTTTAACATGCTGGCCCAAAAGTTTTGAAAAGCCCAAAGTACCCAGGCCCTTAATGACTAAGAAAAAACCATAGTAACAAAAGAAGCTTGCACAGCCGTCTCTCCTCCTTCCTCGCACGGGCAAACACTCTTATTCTTCTCTTAGTAGTGATGATGATTGATAAGTTGGGAGATTAGGCTTTTAGAAGTGCATTATGAACCTTATGATATTAGGATTTAATAATTAATTAGCCTTTTTTACGCTTCTAGTAGTGAAATAGACTTCTCTTTATGTGGATGTTTGGTTAAATTTCTTGTTTTTAATGATTATTGAGTATGGATTTAATTTTTGTTAGTATTATTTTGTTTCCTAAATTTTTTATAGGCATTTTTTGAGGCTTATGCCTCAAAGCGCTTGGAGGCTTACGCCTCGCCTCGTAAAGGCAAAACACCTTGAGGCCCGATTCCGCCTTTTAAAACCTTGCCTGTCATCAACTAGTGATTTTCAAGAATAATACGAGGATTCTGCTATACTAACAATACCCTAATCACTTGTGGGCAAATAATAGTAATACCCTAATCACATATGGGTAAATAATAGTAATACCCTAATCACCTACTACCTTTTCAGTACCAACATTCCGCTGTCAAAAAAGCCACGATCCACCGTAACCCAAAAAAAAAAAAAAAAAAAAAATGGGGACGGGATTTTTTCTTTCCACTAAATTCGGTGAAACCATTCCTCTGGCTATATCAACCAAGTTTTACCATTTTCATGAAAAGTAGGCGCACGTAGGGTAATAAAAGACTTCTCAGCTAAAGATATTACCTTTTCACACGTGACTTGATATGAAATTCCTAGCCATCGCACATATAAGCTATGAAAAACTGCATGGGGCAGCATCCGCCACTAGTGGCTTGGCATTCCAAAGGTCCAAATTTGGCAGCCATATTATCCAAATCAGTGATTTGATCCCCACATATTTTGCAACTTTACCACGACCTGGCGCTAGATTAAGTCCCAGGAAAACTAGATCAGATTCACCTTGACTCCTTAAACCTTTAAATGTCAGTTGCCACCTTCCATCTGCAGCACAACATGAAAAATAAAATTAGGAGAAAACAAGTAATTATTGACAATTTTCCAGCAAAACACAAGAAAAAAAGAAAGGGAAATAGAGACATTTTTTGCCACAAAAATAAGCGTCATGTGCATGCAATACAAAAATGTATCAAGGAAAAACATGCAGAGGCATCAATCGACCATATTTCATAGAATAGAAATAAATAAACAACGAAGCAAGTGGTGATAGCGGATTAAAAAAGCACAACGAATTGCAGCTTCTTCACTCTCTCCAAGAAACCTAAAGAACCCTCTCCTCACGGCAACTTTTTCAATGCTAAACATAATTTCCTTTCGGATAGACCAACTGTTCTTCACTCGCATGGTACAAGTGGTAATTGCTCAATGAACAGGCCCAAAAATCAACCATCCCGAAAACAGTTGTGTAACTTCCATATCTATTTTTCATCCAACAGAGGGCTTGCTACACTGAACTCCGACTACACCAAAAGAGTCCGCTCAACTCAAGATCAAAATCTAATCTTGAGGAAGCAAGTTCATTCGAGCTTCAAACCAGAGTCAGCCGCTCAACTATCTCATTGTTTCTGTTGATATTCAGCCATATCAAACAAAGAACTAACTCGTGCAAATACGTTTAAAAGGTATTCTGTTGACACTTATACTCTCCTCTAACTGGTGGCAGGCTCCAGGCTCCACGAAAACCATGAAACAATTATTTGTACTTGTTGCAATTTCCATTACAACAGTACAGCATTTCTGCAGTGAACAACAATGTCTCCAGAAGTCTCATAACCGTTCGAGACTGTGCGATGCAAGGATGAAGGCCACATAAGCATATACAGCATCAGAATAACCTAATTCTCAGTCACCAACTTGTACGTTTAATTCTTTTTGATAGTAATCTTGGTAAATGCTGCCATTATCTAGGAAAATCTATACCTTCTACTTCTATGAGTTGCCTAGAAATAAGTATTTGAAAGCTAAGGGTACAATTTTTCCTTGGTAGTAGAGGCAACTGATGCTTACAGTTAGGTTAGAAGCAACAAAACTAATAATTTATTCATCCCTAGGAAGCCAAATATATCCCTACGAGTGATATTGCAGCCACTATCCCCAACTAGCCTTAAAGGTCATTGGGCTGCTGGAAGGTTGTCACGAGTGAGAAAGTTTGGGGCACCAAAGGCAGTTCTCCGCGCACTGGACACGTAGCTTATCCAAATCTAGTTGCGACATGGATGGGAATGCATACCATGAAAGACAGAGTCGAGTCTGATATATGAACCGTCTACTCAATATTAACTGTTTCTCAATCAAGCAATTATCACCATGGCAGCTGAAATTGTAGAAGCCTCAAGGCATGGTACAGAAGCAGTTCATTACAAAGGCACTCTACAAGAAAACTGATACACTAATAAACTCCGAGCCTAAACAAAGCGAGATAAGGATCAAACAATGAGCACTGACAGCTAAGCATCACGATGTGAAGGAAAATCCATTAAAAAGGTGATACAGTTGAATCTAAGATATTGACACCTTACTCCCCAGTATTATACAGGAAAAATACTACAGAAAAAAAACAGCAAACAAGATAGACTATCGACTAAGCTCAAAGTAAAACAGTATTTCTAAATACAAGCAAAGACTATAAAAAAAACCGAAGGATCAGTACTAAACAAATATAAAAGCATTTATAATGACTAGCGGGAGAAAAAAGCCAGATTCCAAACCCATGAAATATGAGACAGGATACTTGCCTATATCTTCAAAGTCAGTAGTTGGCCTCCTGTCACGTGGCATGCCACCATCCTTCCTTCAGCTACCAGGGCCATTTCAATAAATGAAGTAACTTGTTTACATGGGGTGGCAAGAATTTCGCAACCATCGAAACGCATTGCAGAACTAGAACTTAAATGAGAAATAAGAGCTTCAAACACCAAACATGGGTAGCAGCAACACTGCACAACTGATTGATCTATGAATTTGTGAAGTAACAGTCGTACATTCCTAAGAAAGCCATCCGACAAATTCAACCTCCTTTGCTATATGGATCAAATCTATTATGCCTTCACCATGGTATCCTCATTCGCTATAGCCAAATCTAATTAATCCTAAGAGAGAGAGATAAAACATAGTGGCTACAGAGACTTCTATACCTCAGAAAAGAATATTCCTAAACTCCACTTTGTCTTGCTGAAAAAGAATTCTACGTTCAAAATCCAAGTCTTAGGAGACCCAAGTATCTACCATATCCTATTAAAATTGAATAAAGGATAACTCATGAAAAAACTACAAAAACCAAGATCTGACACCTGACTTTTAAAATGATGAAATCTTCCTAGTTCCAACCTAAAATAGTCTTGATCTTGCTAAACCTGTTGGTTATAAACATAAAACTTCAAGATATACTTCCAGTCCCAAGATTTTTGATGCCAATACGTCAACTATCTTGCAGTTTCAACGATCCATTGCTGAAAATCAACAAAACCGATTTCCAAAAGTTTAAGTGTGAAAAAAATGACAGCACTCCCAGAGTAGATAGCAGATCATCCAAAGTCCAAACTCACATAAAAGGAATCCTTATAATTCCATACAATGGAACAATCAGCTTTCAAATCTCCAAAGTACGACAAACCTGACATGAAGACGAATGAAATGCACAAATGGAAGGCATCCATGATATGACTTATTGAACATACACTTACCACCAAGTGATTTCAAAGAAAATACACTTCGTCCAAATAAACTATATATTATAAATCCGAATTGCTCCATCACCATTGCCATGCTGCATTTGTTCTTTCATAAAGCCACCCCATGACTTAAACTTCAACAAGTAGCAGAAGAGACCGAACTCTCTGTATGAGGTCTGCATTATTAACTTGCTTCCTTCATACATGCTCCAGCCTCCATAAAATGTGGCAGAGTAGAATCGACCGTATCAAAATACGATTCCTATGTCATTTAGAAAGTATTTACTCCTACATCTCAACCCCCTATCCGCCAGGGGAGAAACGAGGAAAGAGCTAGGAGACATAAGACCAAGTAAGATTTACCAATAATAAATATTGGCGTGGTGCTTGTAAGCAAAAATATCAACATAGTAAGTTATTTGGTCATATTATTGACGTAACATATGACTACTGAGAGGTAGAGGATATATATCCAAAATATTTGCATCATAAACACATAAATGAAATATGTCTCAAGCAACTAGAAGAAAGCAGCACTAAAACCCTATATAACAGTCTAGGATGACAAACATATTAAAAAATTACTATTTATGAGGCATGCATACATATATGAACCTAATGATCCTCAGGCAATCATATCCGAAGCATCCAAACAGCAACTTGCGTGCCTCTGCAATTTAAACAATTATCATCTTAGCGCCGAGTCATGCGTGGTTTCTCAGATCCTCCCCATGAAGCTGGACCCGGGCCATAAATAGGTCCTTTGTCAGCAACACCCTAAATAAGAAAACATAAGGATTCGTGATTCAACGAGAAAAAACGAAAGTGAATTCCTGGATTCCTAGTGATAACATTAATGCAACATGAGATCTTTGATTATATGAAGATGCATACCATGTGAAGCCCATATCCATCTCCATATGGAGTGGGGAAAGTTCCCTCTGGGCTTCCGAATTTCATCCCATATGGTCCACCTAGTAAAAAATCGGATATCATAAAAGATTAGACGCAGAATGCAAAAATAAAATGAAATCATATAAAAAACATGCTTGGTAGCCCAGCCTGCAAAAACAGGTATGTTTTACCTGCACCCCATGGTCTACTATCAATACTATGAAGCTCTGCGCGTAGTTTCTCAACTTCCCGCGCCATGGAAACTAAATTCTTCTCCATTGCCTGTCTCTGTTCCACCAGCTCGATATTTGCTTTCTTCTCATAGTCGACCGCAGTTCTATAAACACAAAAACACTCAGTTGATCCAACGTGTTATCAATCCAATAAAATTCAATAACAAATTTGCATCCTGATAGAAATTCAGGCACAAACCTAGCATGCATAAGCTCCTGCTGCAGGCCATCGATATCGGCCCTCAAATGAGGAATCTGTTGATTATCAACTTGCAATGTTCCAACGTCCTGTTTGAGAGTCTGAACTTGCGAGGACAAGTCCTGATTTAGTTCCCTCAGCTTCTTAACTTCCGCACGAAGTTGCAAAGCCTCGTTTTTAAATGGCTCAGCTGCCCGAAGATCGGCTTCCAACTTCAACCCCTTCTCATAAAGCTCCCTGGACCGCATTTCTTCTTCAGCCCGAATCTCCCCAATGGCGAGATTCATCCGATGAAGCTCCTCCTTCGCTGCACCGAGCTCGCGCTGCAACCCCACTCGGTCTTCAACCAGCCTCCGGTTATCGGCCAACAGCCTCCGGATTTCGGCATGCTGCAACTCAAGCTCTTCCTCCAACACCGCAGGATGCCGCAGAGGCCGGGATAATGGAGGGCCCCGAACGTATGGCCCCTCAAGAGGTTGGTACCCACGCCTGCTATTAATGGCTTCACGGGAAATCCTGTTTCTACTGGCCATTTTCAAATTACCCTGAAAATGTACAATATTTTTACAATTTCATAATGAATTTATAACCAATAACAGATATGATTATTTCTTATGGCCATAGGTAACAAGCAAAATGATGGTGGATTTACTCTTTTTCAGCTAGCGCATACATTTTGAAATAAAGAATTAATCATTGAAGAACCGAAAAGGATCACAAAACCAATTAAAGAGATTGCGTCCAATCAACAAGTATTTATTTCACTACATGAAACAGATAGAGTTAAGTTATCCAAACATTATTAACTAGTGAAACTTGAAACTTCAGGAAATAACAAATGCTCCTCAAAACCATTATGTTCAGACATAATGGCAAAACCCTCATGTTGATCCCTGCTAAGCTAAAAGAAAAATCTCCTATACCTAAGATCAATCTTCCTTCACGAGTTTCAAATGAGTTGACTCTTGCCCCTAGGTCTCGAGATGATATACCTATTGAAAAGGTTGAAAATAAGAAAGAAGTTGTGAAAAATGAAGAGGCTGTTCAACCCAAGTCATTGCCCAAGTCTATTAGTGATTAACCAACTTTGTCCATCGTCCCATCACCACGTTGTTTTCCAACCCCTTTGCCCATTGATTCTAGTTCCTCAAAATCAGATTTTGAAAATCCACCAATAAAATTGCATGATACAATTCCTAACTTTTCTCTTTCTTCTTTTGGATCTAATGCATATTTACTCGATTTTCCTCCTACCGTGACTACGACCCTTTATGTGTCTGTTTTTGCTCAGTGAGAATTGTATAAAATTGAACAGAAAAACTACCCTTTTGAATACCAAATCTTCCATCAATTAATCCACAAAAAAGGGAAATTTCACACTCCAGGCATCATTGGGAAAAATACTTTTAGGGGAAAAAGGAAAATAATACCAGCAATTTCCTTTATCAATGTTTTTTTCCCCCTTTTTCCATTAGAAAAACAAAAGAGAAACACAACAAATACCATAGACGAAGCTCGGAAAACTCATGGAACACAAAGCCGAATTCGATTTTTGTTGAAACTATTTTTCGGATGAAAAAGAAAATAAAAGAATTGAAGCAATAGTGAAAGTAGTTTCTGAAACAAAAGCGGTGGAAATCGGAAGACGAACCTGAGAAATTGATCGAATAACCGCAAAAACAAAAAGAAAAAAGAAAACTCCAAGTTCCGCCGTTTCTCGTTTGCTGCGTGTGGGAGGTCACAGGTAAAAGCTCCTCCTTCCTACCCTACCCAAACGAAAAAAAGGAGGCGTTTTTCTCAAGTTTAGACGGCATTAAAACATTAGAAACGACTATCGTTTAGGTTGCTTTGAGTGGCGGTGTGGATGTGGGCCCCAACTCTCTAAATTGTTTCTTGCCGAAAAAGACTTTACTGGTAGATATATAACTTTTAATCATCAAATTAAATTAGATATTCTTTTTAGAAATTTTACTACTGATTAAAAACTAGTCTTAAAAAGAAATGTATTTTTAAATTGGTTTCATCTAATTTTATTATAGTTTATGTAAATAACATAAATATTTATTAAAAAACAAAAATTCAAAATAAAGAATTTGGGACACAATATAATGAAAACTACCCATTAATAGTGCATGCTATAAATATCATTTCCTCTAGATTTTGACTAATATTAAATCTCAAACAATTTACTAAAAATTATAAAATTATGAGTATTTGAATAATAAGTTATACCTCTAGACAAAAAGACTGTGGAAGTAATTAAAAAATTTGTCGCCCTTAGCTCATCTCTTTAGTTTTTTTATCTCTTTATTTTTTTTTTTAAATTATGTCCTTAACTTTATACATAATAAGAGAAAGTGCAAAAGTTTAAGAAATAATATAAATTCTCGTTTAAATTAGTAATTAGTTTAATGTGATGTGTCTATTTTAAAATTTCTTTTTCATTTTAGTCAAGATCATTGAATGATATTTTTTAGAACAACTCAACAAAACTAGTGAAAAAGAATTAAATTTACTTGTGTAATTTTATTTTGTTAAATAAATAATTTATTTAATCACTTCTAAGTTATGAGGTTATTGTAAGTTTGCGGAAACCGTAGCAAATAGCAGACTTTTAAAATTAAATTATGTACAGTAAATTTTAGAATGTTTAAAGTAAGTAGCAGTAAAATTTTCATTTTTGGATTTTATTGACTATATTTGGATCCAGTTCGTGAAGCAGTCCACATTCCCTAACGTAATGTGAGGATGGGCTTGTTTCTAGCCCATTATAACCGATATAAAATAGCGCTGAAGAAAAGTAACGCATCCTCAAAAAAAAAAATTCATTACACTGCTTTCATATCTCGGCTGTGATTACTTAAAATAAGCTACGGCCAGTTTAGTTCGTTGATTTAAGTTTTTAATTTAAGTTAAAATGTGATTTTATATTTATTATAATAAAAAAGTTAGATGTGATTATTTTTTAAAACGTTTTACTGTAGTAAACCTCAAATTCTAAACTCAAATCGATAAAATGAATGAGATCTTAATAACTTAGCATTAGTTTAGTTAGTGGACTAATAGAGTTAGTAAAAATTAGTATAAATAAAGAGATTAGAGTTGGTAAGAATCAGTATAAATAAAAGGGTTAGGAGTTCGTGAGTGATTTCGTGTTTATTTGTGAGAATTTAAGAATTGTTCTGGGCTTCAAAAACTAAGATTTTAGAGAGTTGGTGGTCTATTGAATACGATTGTTTCTGAGTTTTTTCGTATTATTTTGAAGTTTTATCAGTAAATTCAACAAAGTTTCAATCCTTTGTTCATCTGATTTGTTAGAAATTGCTAGGATCCTAAGTACTACCTCCAGGCTCCAGCCATTTCTTTTGTCCTATACTATCAATTAAGAGTTTGTAAATTTCAGTAACTTTCGATACGTATTGTATTACATAAAACGTTCTTTCTTTTGATAGATAATTATGTAGTACGTTCTTCGGTAAATAAATACATATATGAGAGTGTTGAAATTTTAGACGAGTCGCCCACGACTATTGAAAAGTCCAAATTTTTAGTCGATTACTGAGCCCGAATTGTCCAAAAATTTGGGTTGCCCGACCCGACCCGAATTTCTCCTTGGACGGGCATCGGGCAGCGTTTGACTGCCCGTTGCTTGACCAAACTGCCCGAAAATTTTAATATTTTTTATATTATATATATATATATATATTACAATTTGAAATTTAAAATGAACACACAAACTATATAAAAAAAATTATTTATTTATTAATTTTTAAATTTGTAATTCATGATTGCCTCGTTAAAAACCTTACCAAGAAAAACACAATTAGAATAAAAACTTGGTAAGGAAAAAAGAGTGCAATCATTGTGGGACGAATTACAAATTTGATGAACTTACAAAGTCTATACAAGATTACAATAACACTATACAAATTAGAAATTACAAAGTAAATAAATATTTACAAATTACAATAATAAAATTTAATTTGAAGCAGAATGATTGTCTTGAAAATTAAAAGTTAATCTATTAAATTCGTCGATCCATTCTCGGCTTGCCGGTGAGATTGTATCGTGTAAGCGTTGGTCGGAACGATCCCAATCCTTGATGCACACCAAAGCTTCAACAATATCCTGCTGCAATGCGTTTCTCCATTCTTCAAGTATTCGGCCGGTTGTACTGAATGCTTGTTCGGCTACAACAGTGGAGACCGGGATCGAAAAAATATCCATTGTCAGTCTTGTTAGGATCAACCAAGTTAATGCTCGTGCCCTCCACCACTGAACCAAATCAAACATTTCACTACTGTCTACAACTAAGCCCTCACTCAGGTACGTCATTAACTCGTTAAAGCCGCCGCTGTTGCCGCCACCTCTTGATGAAGATCCACTCGTAGATTCTTCTTGACCTTGAGTCGTCATCGTCGTCTTCTTCTTCTTCTTAGACAACCCGAAAACATTCAAGAATGAATGCAGATTGTCATCTCGTTGTTGCGGTTGTTCAACACGAGGTGTGTTTCTAAACCTACTTTCATAAGAGATATAGAGAGAAAATATTTTTTTCCTTTATAATAGGAAATTGGTCAGTAGTGTCGATAGCTACAAATTCGCCTAAGTTATCTAATCCACTTTCTAAACCTTCTAATTTTAATCTAGGGTCGAAAATAACACCGAAACCATACAACATAGGTAATTTAGACCAATATTTTTAAACTTCTTTTCCATAGAGGCAATAAAAACTCCTAAAACCTCGTGTGTCCTAAATTCACTAAATAAAATAGACATTCTTAAAAGTTCTCCTAACGCTAATGGTGACGTTGGATAATAAGTTCCACTAAGCTTTAAGATAACTTCATGAAATCTACCTAAAAAGTTAAACAAGAGTTCAGCAACTTGCCAATAAGTTTCAACTATAAATCATGGTCCTAATTTTGTACTAACATAATTTGTTATAGCATCTTTATAAGGGATGCATTGTTCAAGCATTATATAAGTGGAGTTCCATCTTATGGGCATATCTAACGCTAATGCTCTAGGATTTTGATTACATGCTTGTAGAAATCTAAACCAATCTTGTATTCTTTGATTACTACCTTGAATTCAAGCAATGTTATCTATAATTCTTTTAATATGACCTGACATTGATTTTAAATTAGATTTTACTATTAAATTAATTATATGGCATGCGCAACGTTGGTGAAATATGTCATTATTACCGAATAAACTTAAATCATTTTCAAAAAATTATATTGCTTTAGTATTTGTAGTTGCACTATCTAATATTCTGACCATTATTCTATCTCTTAAACTATATTCATCAATAACATATAAAATTGTGTTATATATTAAATTGGCAGTATGTGATCCTATAACACATTTAAAACCTAAAATTCTCTTATCCAAATCAAAACCTTTATAATAATGTCCGGTTACAGCTAAATAATCTTTGTTGGCAACGGCAGACTAAATATCCGCCGTTAACACAACGCAACTACTAGTAGAGTGTAGAAGGTTGATTAATGCTTCCTTTTCTTGTTTATATAATTTTAATGCATCTTTCCTAAGAGTAGTTCTAAAAAAAATTGTGCATTAGGATTATGTACAATTTTAATATAACGCTGCTAATTTCTTTGTTCAGTAAAACTAAGTGGTTAATCTAATATGGCTACTAATCATGCCATTTCTATACGATCAACTTGCGGATCGTATTTCCACGTGCTTAGACCACCAGTTTGGCAGTCAAACGATAATTGTGTTTGACGGAGATCGACTCCGCCTCCTTGCTTTTGAAGACACTTTTCAGAGTGTCTTCTTAAGTGTGTAGTGCCGTGAATAGTATTACCTTGTAATTTATCACCACAATATTTACATTGAGCTATGTATTTAATGTTACCGTTATTGTCGACCTCTTTGAATGTGTTGAAGTGCTCCCAAATTGCTGAGGTGTGCTTGCATTTCTTCTTAGAACTTGCAACACTTGCACTAGCACTACCGCTTGCCTCTCCTCCACGCCCACCAGTGCCACCACCATTACGTCCACAACCTCTAGTATGTCCACCAGGGGTCGGATTTGTAGTTTTCTCAGCAACTCTTTCCGTAGTTTGCGATTCTTGCGTTTGAAAAACATTAAGAAATTGCCCTTCTTCGATGTTGAATTAGGCATCAATGGGAATATCACCATCATAA